GTCCATAACGACACCACTGCAAAGTTTCCGATAAACTCTTCAGTAACAATGATAACTGGCTACTCCAGTTGCTTCCAACACTTCAACATTTTAACTAGCTATCCAGTATTAATTTTAAAACAGAAGTAACCTGCAAGGTCTGATTAAACCATACTCAGATATGGAGTAACATTATCATACTCGGATAATGTTAAGTCCCACGGCTTGCACATGCATACACATTCCCACACATGCACAAGGCATACTTTGTACATCTGGTTGGTTTCTTTGAAGACAAGTTGGTGCACACCAGCTGTACATAATGACCACTTGTTTTCCTTATCAAAGCCACAGGGCATGAAAAGTGGCATTTATGGAATGGTGCTTCAGGTGCCTACTCTTTTCTTAACAACTGCAAGAAAATGCCAATCAGAGCTCTTAAATAGGCACTGAGAAGTTAAATCACAACCAATGAGGATGCTCATAAGTAAAAACAGCAGGTTGCACATGTAATCACCACAGCGGGTACAGTACTGATTACTTGCATGACAGAACTTGAAAACACTGATCCAAGGAGTGGCCCATGACTACTATTACTACTTTTAGCACTGGGAAGAGGGGCCTGGAGTAGCAGTATAGATGCACTTTGGCCCAAATCAAGAATTATTGGTGTCTTGGAACCATTAATGTAACTAATAAACCTCTCTTGGTAGGGCTAAATACTGTTTTGTACTGAAGCCACTTTCAAATCTACCAAGAAGAGATTCCTAAAGTAGGATTGGGTATTTGATCTGTCAAATAAAGTTTGGTCATTTGACTGGTCAAATATTGGTCAAAAATTGTAAAAAAAAAAATGTTTTTAATAATTTTTAAAAATGCCAGTAGAACCAAATAATACACAGAAAAAACAAATTTTCCATTAATGTGTCAAAAAACAAAAAAAAAAAATTTCTGTCAAGAAAACTACAAATCTTATTTTTTATTTTTAATTGCTGTAATCTCTGATTAGTCAAAAATACTTTTTATCAGTCAGTTGACCAGCTTGCCAACCCTACCTTGGAGCACTTGCCCAGCATATAAATAACCCAGATTCAGACACTTATTTTTTCTAGTAAAATCCTCTAATCGCTTAAGTTATAGGCTATGGGAAGTCATTCTCTACTCCACCAGCTGGAGTTGTGTCACTTCACCTAAAAACACTAATGATTCATGGAGCTAGAGCAGGGGGCCATGAATCTCAGACCTAGTGGTTAGGATACCTACCTGGCAGGGCAAGGCAGCCATAGGGACACAGGACTCTCCCATTGCCAGCATAAAATGGGTATGACCGTAGCATGGCTTGTGCAAGGAAGGGCTTGCCTTAGAGGGCTTGGAGCTCTGAATCTTGAATAGAGAGGGTCAGTAGAGAGCCGACACCTAAAAAATAAAAAACCTGCCCCAGTCAGAGGCTTCAGTCAAATCTGTGTTGGTATTTCCTAATAACTATGTGAGGCATGCCCCCGCTCATTGTAATGTTTCTGGTTCTAAGTGGTTACTCCTCCCCATGCATTGCATAGTAATCCTAGACAACTAACTCAGGGCTGCCAATTATATATAAGGGCCTAGGACCTGAGGGTGAAGTTGTACATTATGCTTAGCCCATACTAAATCCCTAGGACGTTAAATGTTAGAACATGCTAGGAGCAGTCGCACATTAAAGGTTCATACTGTTTCTTGCCTGCACGGCTGATTTACTATTAGAGGGCTGGTAAGTATGGCCTAAGTGTAATATGTAACTTCACCCTAGGTTCTTTTGTGGATCTGGGCCTTGGATACTCATGGCGAGCTTCAATTCTGAAATCTAGAAGCCCCTGCATCTAGCATTTAGGTGAATTGGCTCAGCCAAGAATAGAGATTTCCTCCTGTGCACCTCTACTCTACTTTGTTCTCCATAGTCAAGACTCAGTTGACTGACTTTCAAAAGCATTTCCATTTATCTAAGCATATCTCTGGAAAACAAAAAAAGAAAAACCACAGGCTTTTTTCAGCCTGGTTACTTTTAATCTCAGGGAACTTTTTGACACTGGGGGAAGACTAGTTGTATTCATAGAATTCAGGATAGACTTTAACTGTGAGATGATGATGCATTTGAACACAGTTTTTTTCTGAAAATAGCTATTTTTGGAAGCTCGAGTTGGCTGTCCAACTACTGTACAGTAGCCAGTTGGAGAAATAGGAATGTGTACACACACAGACTGAATTTCAATCAACTTTTTGTCACAGGTTTTAAGACAAGGAAAAGAAGTTCGATTCTTAATCTGAATATTTGGGGTAACATGACTGTTAAAAATATTTTAGTGCCATACTATTTTTGTGTTACATAATAAAGTCTTGGAACTATGCACTATTATTTTAATATGGAGATAAGATGTTGAAGTAAATACACTTCATCAATTTTTCTAAGAAGAAATGAGCAATAGTATGCAGTGTGGTACTGTGTTTGTGTTGTGGGGGAGAGAATAAAATGGTATGTCACAAATTTACGCACAGGTAAACCAGGGCAGCATTTTAGAGTCTTATTCTCTTCATTACATTTTTAATAAATACTAATTATAACCAAGTTGAGTATTTTTGTGGATTTATTTTGCAAAAGGATTTTAAATTACACATAGATATACATTTAAAAAAACTCTCTCCAAAATGGGTTATCATTTTTTAATATATTGCACTTCAAGATAGCTTATGCATGTACCCTGTTACAAGTTTCTACAATAGACAGTGATTGAGCAGTCAGCCAAGATAACAGTTTTCTTATATTAAGAAACAAATTATTTTTCTCTGTAGGATTTGGCCTTTAGAACTGAACTGTCTGCAAGTGCATATGCTTAAACTGAGTAATCAAATAATAGTGTACCATACCACTATAATGTCTCTCTTTT